CGCCTCCCGCCCCTCCCTCAGGTGGGGCCCCGGGGAACCGGACGTAGATCCCCGGGGCGCTGAGTCGGGAGGCAGCGGCCGTCTTCTGCCCGGGGGCTGCCCCCCGACCCCACGCGTTGCGAGTTCTTCCCCCTCAAGCTTGGGGGCTCTTTTCGGTCGGGAAGAAGGTTAGTAGTACCTTGCGCCTCCGGGGTGCCCTTCTGGGTGAAGAGGCCCTTGCGAGGGGCCTGCGTTCCCGCCCATCCTGTCGCGGTGCCCTTTGCTGGCATTAGGGCAAAGGCAGCCGTTCCATGCGGACGTGTTAGTGTTCTGTGTGTGCTGCATCCTGCCCACGTGGTAGGGTGTCCCGTTCCCCCCCCCCATTTTTGCAGCTGGCGAAGAGGGAGGTTAACGGGATGGTTTTTCCTGTGATTTCCTACGGGTGGTGTGAAAGGTGTTAAGGTCAGTTTGCCTTGCAGAGGCCCACGGTTCGTTAAATGGAAGAACCAAGATTTGCGTACTCTGAAATTGAGATCTGTAAGGGAACATACCAGGGCTTAGTTTCATTGACATTTTTTCATCTCCCATTGCCTCTTCTTCTGGTCTCTACTGCTTAATCCTAAAAAGAGAGTAAGCTCTTGTTACCGGTGCTTTGATGTGTATAGTTTTCATTTCTCTGTTCTACTTTTTGTGTGGTTGGTTGGCAAAGGTTTTCCATTCTGGGTTGCTACAGTACAAGTCTGTGTTGTTCCTAGCTGTATTCCCGAATGAGCAGAGCCAGGGATCGTATCTCTTGTCTTTTTTCCCTAACAATTACTTGTCTTTATTTTTTTCTTTTACTGTATTTTGTTCCCTCGTGAAGAAGCGTGCCTCTCATCTAATTGTGTGATACACGCAACCCTTCTTGCAAGGTTGTAGCAGTAGTTTCTCCTAGTTACCGCTTGCGGAAGCCTTTTTATTTTACTTTTCTTTCTGTTGATTACCATTGGACTCCACACTTCGGTTTAGAAACAGGTGTTTTCTGTAATTTTTTTTTTTCTTTCTTTCTTTAATATCCTTTCCAGGTTAAGGTTTCCATCGTTCTGTTTAGTTTTTTTTTTTTTTTTCTTTTTGGTTTTTTTGGCACAGGGTCTCACTATGTAGTTGAGACTGACCTGGAACTCACTATGTAGCCCATGCTGGTCTCGAACTCACAGCGATCCTCCTGCCTCAGCCTCCGGAGTGCTGGGATCACAGGCGTGTGCCACCACACCCGGCTTGTGTTTAGCTTTGTTGAACCATAGATTGCTCTCTTTACAGAGAACACTAGTAGTGAGAGAAACCTTTTATTCCTTCTGAATCTTAATATGTACTTAGAGAAAATCAGTAAGCCCCCCCCATTGGGTGGGCTATATAGAGTGATTGAATTTTTTAGTTTTTAGATGAATCTGAGGAATTGTCTCTTCTTTTTGGTTTTCAGTTGGAGTTAACTGAGAATCTTGTTCTTGGCTTTGTGCTATTGATACTGGGGAGTTTCTCATTCCGTTATGAGGTGTTTTTTGGATGAGGCCAGAACATGTTTATTTTGGCCTCTTTAGTTCATTAGTTTGGGTGAAATAAATCATACTGTTTCGAAGTCGTTCTTTAAGTTCTTAAATGTCTAGCATTCTGTAATTTGTTTTTCACATTATATAGTCTCTTTGAGAGTGAATTTAAAAAGTGTGTGTGTGTGTGTGTGTGTGTGTGTGTGTGTGTGTGTGTTACTGGGGATTGAATCCAGAGCTTTCACATTGAGTTACATCAGCCCTTTTGTACTTCTTTTAAATTTAGTGACGGCGTTTTGCTAAATTGCCAAGGCTAGGCTTGAGCTCGGAATCATTTTGCCTCAGTCTTTTAGAGTGCTGGGATTACAGGTGTGCACCATTATGCATCGTGTTTTTTTTTTTTTTTTTTTTTTTTTT